AGGATAGGATAGGATAGGATAGGATAGGATAGGATAGGATAGGATAGCTCTGAGGGCTGAAGAAGCTTCTTGGATGAGAAGCAAAATTTTACACCTTTTTTGCTATAAAAAAGAGGTTGAGACTCTAGAAAGTGTGCAGAGAAGAGCAACCAGGATGATTAAGGGACTGGAGACTAAAACATATGAAGAACGGTTACAGGAACTCAGCATGGCTAGTCTAGTGAAGAGAAGGATCAGGGGAGACAGGATAGCAGTCTTCCAATATTTCTGAGGGACTGCTGCAGAGAGGAAGGGGTCAAGCTATTTTCTAAAGCATCTGTAGGCCAGACAAGGAACAATGGATGGAAACTGAACAAGGAGAGATTTAACCTGGAAATAAGGAGAAACTTTCTGACAGTGAGGACAATCAGCCAATGAAACAGAAGTTGCCTTCTGAAGTTGTGGGAGCTTCATCACTGGAGACTTTCAAGAAGAGATTGGACTCCCATCTGTCAGAAATGGTGTAGGGTCTCCTGTTTGAGAGGGGGTTTGGACTAGATGACCTACAAAGTTCCTTCCAACTCTGATTATCTGTTATTTGTTATCTGTCTTCAAAGAAAAACCAGGAAATCCAATTGCCTCTTGAAAAGGCACCTTTGGGATGCCCATAGCTAAGCCAATCCTGATGACCTCTTGTGAATCATAGATGGAGCCCCTGGATAAGCCAAGATGTAGCCATCATAGATGGATCCCCTGGATCCCCACTCAATCCTGAAGCTATCATCTCTGATGAAGACACCCAAGAAGCCTGGATTTTTTTAAAAAATTCTTTAATCCAGCAACCTGAGACTATTGTAACTGGAAATCTCAGCATTTGATCTGGAATGCAAACTCTTTTTTTCCCCCTACTGAGCTCTATATCTCTTGAATTGACTGACCTGGGAAGATTGATGATCAAACATTTTCCATCAGACAAAACTAGCCTGGAGAGGAATCAGAAATTCAAGGCAATGAGCTGGAGACAATCAAATCTTCCTTCCACCTAAGTAGAAAGCACAGGCTCCCCAAACTGCTCCATAACTATTACATTATGGGAGGAACAACATGAGACTTGCCTGCCAAGAAATATGTCATATGATCTGTTTTTGCTTCAGGTTCCTAAGTGAATACTTTGCAAAGTAGTAATTTTTGGAGTGGGAAAAAACACACAGTGGAAAGCCAAATGGGTTGCTGATTGCCCAGATACAGGCAGTTACGTAGATGACCCTACACCAAAGGTGCGAATTTTGACCTTTCTCACCAGCATTGGTCAATTCTGAATGGGATCCATGCCCAACATGGTGTCTGCCAGGACTCCGTGTTTAAGTGAAGTCTTATCTCTACCCCTCAGTGTGACTGTGGTGCTCCTCGACAAAATATCCATCACATTGTGTCCGAAAGTCTATCAAGAGTCCAGTTTGAACTTCTTCGGTGACAGACCAAAATCTGCGACCGTGCACAGTTTCGATCTGTGCTCACTGCTGGAGCGTCCCGAGTCGGCTGGTTTTGGGACTGCCACCCTGTAGAGGTGCTGAAGACGGGGGGGAGACTGCCAGCAGGGTCAAGGAGAGCCACATATCTCCTCCCCAGCTGGCCATTACTCCCTTTCCTGAAGGCAGTTGCAGCGGTGGTCAGAAATGGCTACCTTAAAGAAGAACTCAACCGGAAAATAATGTGCAAGAGGAAGATAAGAAGAGAAAGCTTTTGGCTGACTGGGTTGAACTGGAAAAACAACAATACAAGGTACCCTGGATTTTGAATTATAAAGAACAACATTGTTCCCGACTTCCGGTTTGAGCTTCTTTGGTGACAGACCGAAACCACATCTCTGCGCAGTTTCGATCCGTGCTCGCCGCTGGAGCGCCCCGAGCTGGCTGGTTTCGGGGCTAAGCCACCCCGTAGAGGTGGTGAAGAAGGGGGAGACTGACTGCAGGGTTGAGGAGAGCCGTATCTCTCCTCCCCAGCTGGTCATTACTCCCTTTCCCGAAGGCGGTTGTAGCGGTGGTCAGAAATGGCCACCACAAAGAAGAACTCGACCGGAAAAGAATGTGCAGGAGGAAGATAAGAAGAGAACGTTTTGGTTGATCAGGTCAAACAACAAGAGCAACAAATAAGGTACCCTGGAATTGAAACTATTAAAAAAACAAAACAATCACATTGTTCCCTAAGAAGATTTTTAAACTGCGAAGGAGAGAGAAAAGGGAAAAGATTTGGGTTTTTTTCTCCTTTTCCTATACTGACAGCTAAGAGACTTAAGCAAGAAATTGGAAAAAAATCCACTTTGACATTAATAGGCATTTAATGCTGAAAATAAAATGTCAAAGGGATAATAAAGATTTCTGGATTCTCAAAAACTTTTAAAAGAAGGAAAAAAACAAGTGGGATCTGGAAAAATGGAGGAGACCACCTGGAAGTGAAAGGAATTAACAGTGAAACTTTCACAAGATTTCTAAACGATACATTTTAACTGAAATTTTGTAACAAGATAAGAGAACCCCAGGAAGAGAAAGTGGAAAAAAGAAGCAAGAAGAAACAGCTTCGGATTATTTGGATTACTTGGTGATTTTTGGATTTTTGGCTATTGGGTCTAAAGGACTAAAATTAATCAGGTGGTTGTTTAAAAGTTTTTAAAATGGTATCACTCTTGGAAGAACTGAGAATGGAACTTAAAAAACAGAAAGAAGATGCACAAGAAGGAAGAGGTTCTTTTGGCTTCGTATTTCAATTTTTAGAAATGAAGATCCTGAACTAAGAAACAACAAGAAATGCCTGTAGACAAAGAAGAAGCCATCTTCAATGACCAAGTGTTTCTATGTGGGGAAAAGAAAGGAAAGGGGGGAAAGAGAGTGAAAAACTTAAGATCTGAAAAAACAACCCAAAAAGAGAATAATTTGAAAAGTAATTACAACATTAGGAAGAAACAGAAGAGAGGGTTACAGAAGAGAGAATCAGAATTAGAGAGAGAAGGGGTTAAAAAGGGAAGGGAGAAGAAGAGGGAAAGGAAAAGAAATTATAAAGGACAGAAACAGGACATAGAGAAACAGGGAAAATGTACAAGACACAGAGATAATGGGTGAAAACTTAATTGAAAGGGGGATTCTGCAAGGGTACATAAGATAGTATTGTTATATTAGAAATAGAAATGAACTTTGAAAATTTGAAACAAGTGTGATTAAAATGATAGATAAAATACTCATTGTAATGGAATGGAATGTTTAATAAATAAATGAAATAAAGAGAATGAGAGAATGAAATTAGGAAAGGAGGGGAACATTTTAATTATTATAAATGTGTTATAAAAATTTAAGTGAAGAGGAACATGAAAGAAACATGAAAAAATTATGGAAATATTATAAGTGTTCCTAGAAGTATGATATCCTATTGAAAAGAAATGTTAAAGATGTCAAAGATTATAACTAACATTAATTGTAAAGGCATAAATTGAAGTTTAAATAAGAGTTAAATGGATAAAAATTAAAAGATACAAAGGTGTCATACTCCAATTAGTAACTACAAGGAAAAAAATTGTTTAATGAGAAAAGAAAATATGAAATTGAAACAGGACAGACAAAAGTATAAATATGATGACTAGAAAGGTATTGAAACTTAGAAAAAGATATATATATAATTGAATTTAGAAAGAAATTAGATAATTAAAAGTAAGATTGAGAAAACTAAGGGAAGGGAAAAATTATTGAGAAAATGTTAAAATAGTAATAAGATATGGAACAGAACACAAAGATGAATATGAAATTGAATTTGTGTCTGTATGGAGAAGTGATAACCCGGGACCATGCTATTCTCAAAAAAAAATTTTTTTTTTTAACTTGTATTATGTTTTGTGAAAACCCAAATAAAATTTTTATTTTAAAAAATGAGTTTACGCCGGCCCAATATCCGATTTTTTTTCAACATAGACCATCCTGTCCTTGAATGGCTGGGTGGACTGGAGATTAACTTTTGAACCACTATAAGTCCATGTATTTGCCATACGCTAAATAAAAATAAATAAATGGGGGGGGGGGGGGAAACCACACTGGCAAATTGCTTATAGCCAAGTAGGATTCCGCTATTTTCTGCTGCACCAATATTTCTGAAATTTAAAAACCCACTGCCAAACAACAACAGATAAATATTTTAATAAATAGCTCTGCCTTGCCAGAATGACTCTTGCTTTCTTTCTTTCTTTCTTTCTTTCTTTCTTTCTTTCTTTCTTTCTT